CTGCCAGGAGTTCGATCCTGACCCGCTCAAAGCTGACTCAGCCTTCCATCCTTCCGAAGTGGGTAAAATGAGGACCCAGATTGTTGGGGGCAATATCTCAAACCCCCCCACTCCTTGTCCCTTGGCCTGGGGCTGTTTACATTCATGGGTCGGGACGCCTCTGTCTACAAGGCGTTCTTTGTCACCCATATCAAAATATCAACAATGCTCCATTGAGCATTGGCGCATCGCGTCGTTTTTCTGCTGGACGGTGCGCTTTCCAAATCAGGAGAGCGTGCTTTGCAATTGCGATCTTGTGGCACGACACACCAGCCGGCTTTGGTATCCAGAACCTTTAACCCGCGATGTCCTCCTTATGACGTTTCAAACAGATGGCAGATGGCGGAAAGGAAGGTTGAAATGGGACACGATGGCTGTCTCCATATGTCTGAATGGCACTTTAGGGCTGTCCCACTGTGGAGACCCTGAGGGTGAAAAACAGTCCAAAGTCACTTTTTTCAGTGCCATTGTAACTTCAAACGGTCACTAAACGGATGACTGTAAATTGAGGACTACCAGTCTATAGATTTAGAATCTATAGACTTCTAAAATTCTCCTCTTGGTCTAGGTCAGGGGGGGGGGCAAACTCCAGGCCCGTGGGGTGCTTAGATCTGGCCTGGAAATAACAAAGGACCAGCCCTCAGTGCCTCTGCTAGTGAAAATGGAGCTTGGGGGGGGTACTGTGGACCCCCCCCGCATCCCAATTTCAGCCTGGACAGCCTCCTGCAGCCCTCTGCTAGCAAAAACAAGAGCTTGGGAGGAGCTGCGTGCTGTTTCGGTTGTCAGAGGGCTATCAAAACAAACTAAAAACAAAGAAGGAGAAATATTCCCCCTTTTGCATTTGAGCATGCAAGAAGGGACAGGAAAGGAGAAAGGGAAAGAGGAAAGACAAAGAAGGGAAGATGGGAAGAGAGCAAGGAAGGAAAAATAAGGAAAGAGGGGAAGGAAGAAGGGAGAAGGAAGAGGGAAGAAAAAAGAAGAGAAGGAAGGAAGGGAGGGAGGGAGGGAGGGAGGGAGG